TTGTGTCCAAGTTTTGGCCATTATGAATAAATTGCTAAAAATATGTATGCACATATTTGTCTGGATATAGACCTTTAACTTCTTCAGGTAAAGACCAAAGAGTGTGATTGCTGGATAGGATAGTAAAATATCTTTAGTTTTTCAAGAAACTGCCAAACTGTCTCCCTAAGTGGCTGTGCCATTTTGCATTTCCACCAGTATTGTATAATGGTTGCTCCAGCTTCCTCAGCACTTGGTAGTGTCAGCGTACCTAATTTTGACCATTCTAATAGGTGTGTAGTAGTGGCTCATGGTTGTTTTAGTTTGCATTTCTCTGATGGCATATGATGTGGAACATCTTTTTATATACTTATTTGCCATCTGTATATCTTAAAAAAATTTTTTTTTTCTGTATTGATTTTAGAGAGAGAGGAAGGAAGAGGGAAAGAGAGACAGAAACATCAATGAGAGAGAACACTGATTGGCTGCCTCCTGCATGACCCCCACTGGGGATTTGGCCCACAGCCTGGGCATGTGCCCTGACCAGGAGTCAAACTGGTGATCTCTTGGTGCATGGGTTGATGCTCAACCCCTGAGCCACACTGGCCAGGCTGTATATTTTCTTTAGTTAGGTGTCTATTAAGAATTCGACCCATTTAGTAATAGAGCTGTTTTCTTACTGTTGACTTATGAGAGTTCTATATGTATTTTGGCTAATAGTTCTGTATCAGTTGTGTCCTTTGCAAATATTTTCTCCTGTCTGTAGCTGTCTTTTAATCTCTTGATATTGTCTTTTGCAGAGCAGAAAAATTTAATAAAGCCTAACTGATCAACTATTTCTTTCATGGATTGTGCCCAAGTCCAGGACTTCAATTCTTTTAGGTAAGAGAGCCCAAACTTTCCCAGGAAACATTTCCCTGAAGGGATATGGGTCGTAAATCTAGGAATTATCTTGAAACCTTATGAAATTAGAAAATGAAAGCAAAAAATGTTGGGCAGCAGAATCAGGAGTAAAGATAAACCAAATTTTATGACACTATGAAGCCCTGAATCCATCCATACTGAAGTCAACTAACTCTGGCCTTTTCATTTTTGTGATTAAAAAAAATACCTGTTTTGTTTTAAATTGTTTGGGCTAGAATTTTTTTCATCTGTGAGAAAATTGATGATGACATTATATTCATGGTCCTAATACTCTATTTTATTTATTGTATCTTATGATTAAATGCCTCCCTGCTCTCTATCCCTTATAAGATGAGTTACCAGGTATCACTGCTTCCTTTAAAAGTGGTCAGAATAATTCTAGTCAAGACATCAGCTGTGTGTTTAGAGGGTTTCAGAGATTGGACTTGAGGGACTGATAAGATCAAGGTCTCCTGTTCTGCAGAGTGCAGGAAAAGCAATTAAGGTGGGTCTAAGATAAAGTCCTTGAGAAAGAACTGAAAGTCAAAAGTTGAAAAAACTAAATATGAATTCTAATTTCATAAAAATCAGACAAAAGCAGAAGCAACTGATATAAAAAATTCAAGGAGTTCCCTAAATAGAGCTAGTTTGGTGTCATTTTGTTCCTTCCTCTGGTATGGAGATGAGCCAGACTCACTTCAATAGTCAGGATTGAGAGTCATTTATATAAGGTGAAGTTATAGGATATATTTAAATGTATACATCATATTTATTTATATTTTCATTTGTTAATTCTCACCTGGGGATATTTTTCCATTAATTTTTTAGATAGAGTGGAAGGGAGGAAGGGGTGGGGAAGAGAGAGAGAGAGAGAGAGGGAGAGGGAGAGAAAGAAAGACAAAAAAGAGAAAGAGGAAGAGAGAAAGAGAAAGATTGAGGTAAGAGAGACACATAGATTGGTTGCCTCCCACACAACCCTGATAGGGGTCGGGGATCAAACCTGCAACCCAGATATGTGCCCTTGATCAAGAATTGAACCTGTGACCATTGGGTTTGTGGGCCAGTGTTCTACCTGCTGAGCCAAACAGGCCAGGGCTATACATCATAGTTATAGAATTATATGAGGTGATTGGTGGAATTACATACAAAACAGAGTAAATGTAGAATATATGGATTGTAAGGCATTGTATACTAATGAGTTTGACAAATACAAAATCATAATGTATAGATGCACATTTGTAATTAAAAGGGGATTATTAGCAAATTTCAATTAAAGGAGGTATAAGTTGACTGGAGCTTGTGGAACATTTTTTGGTTTGTGTTTGGACTTTTTATCTTAGTGATAACTGAAGAACACTATGTTTTTCGTAAGTATAGCAATCACACTTTATTATTCAGGATGATATATTTTAGCCCTGGCTGGTGTGGCTCAGTTGGTTGGGCATCATCCCATGCACTGAAAGTTGCCAGTTTGATTCCTGGTCAGGGCCCATGCCCAGGTTGCAGGCTTGATCTCTGGTAGGGGGCATGTTGGAGGCAGCTGATGATGTTTCACTCTCATGTCGACATTTATCTTTCGTCAATGTTTCTTTCTCTTTCTTCTTCTCCCTTTCTTTCTCTCTAAAAAAAATCAATAAACTATTCTTTAAAAAAATAATGATATATTTTATTTCTTATAATGTAAAAAATAAAATCACTTGACCAGTTTTCAGAATGACCTTTTAATTTTGAACAGAGAATAAACAAAGTTTGTAAATACAGGTACATGCTATATAGTGTCATTTTATATGAAATTTACATTTATATACATTTGATTATGCAAAACAAAATGACAATACCACCAGTGGGCTATTTATTTATTGATTGATTTTAGAGAGGAAGGGGAAGGGAAAGAAACATTGATTGGCTGCCTCCCACACGCCCCCTACTTGGAATCAAGCCTGTAACCCAGGCATGGGCCCTGACCCTGCCTCTCGGTACATGGGTTGACACTCAACTAACTGAGCCACACTGGCCAGGGAGAAGCCTTCTTATCTAAAAACACAGTAAAAATAATATTCACATGCATTAAACACTGTAAACCATCTCGCTATATGCCTTATTTGACTAAATAATGAACCGTTGAATGGTTGTTTGAGAGAACAATTAGTCAAGTCACCAATGTGCTGTTTGTATGTCCTTGGTGGCAGTTGCTACTCAACCTAAAAGAGACTTCACCCTTTATTCGAAGTTAGTGCTGTCCATGTGTAAATGACAATAGAACATAGTCCACAAAGGATTTTGATTTCCAAAGTCTCAAATTCCACAGCAAAGACCCAATTTAAGGCAGGTACTTATGTACTAGACATTTGAGATCAAAATATAAAATTTTTCTTAAGTGAACAAATTGACACTATTTTGTAATGATATAATTTTTATGTTTCAGGATGAAAATGGTTTGTAAATGTATATTAGGACTTTTCATATGTTGTCTTGAAAATAGTGAGATTATAGCTTACATCAGCTGGACCCTGACTTCAGGTGAATGGTCTAGAGGGTATCAGAATTTTCAACAGGAAGTCAACATGAGTAAGCTGAGACATTAAACATATATTTAGTGAATAGCAAATACCCTTTAACTAAATTGAAGAAGTCATGAAAGAGTAGGTAAGTCCACTATATATATAAATTAAATTGTGAGGAATAGGTTGTGTTTAAGTGCTAAACAGTGAGTCCTTAACAGATTTTGAGTAGTGGAGAAATATACTGAATTAATTCATAGGAATTATCAATACTGAAGTGAAGAATGCAGTAGGGGTAAAAAGCCCAGGAATTGGATGAACATTATGAAAAAGGAAGCAATAGTGTTCAGAGACTTATTAAATGTAGAAGATGATGGAAAATAAGAAATCAAAATTGGGTTCAGTCTTTCAAGCCTGAGGAACAGGCAGGATTATGATACTGTTGCTAGAGAGTGGTCATTAAGTTGAACTAAATGGATAAAGTGATTAGTTGTTTCTAGATGACAAGTTCAAATTTAAATGTGAAAAGTGAGGTACTCAGTAGAGAAACCAAAATGTGTAGGAGACTGTTGAGATGCCAGATTGCACTTGGCTCAGCAGAGAAGGAAAAGTATAGATCAGGCCCGGCTGGTGTGGCTCAATGGTTGAGAATTGTCCCATGCACCAAGAGGTCGCCAGTTCAATTCTCGGTCAGGGCACTTGGCCCAGGTTGTGTGCCAAATCCCCAGTGAGGGGCATGCAGGAGGCAGCCAATCGATGTTCTCTCTCATTGATGTTTCTCTCTCTCTCCTTCTCCCTCTCTCTTCTTCTCTCTCTAAAAAAATCAATCAAGAAAAAAAAAGAAAACGTCATCAAACAATAAAATTAGGAAGTACAGAAGTAGAATTTTTCATAGCTTGCCATTAAATACTTCCCTTTCCCACCAAGTTTCTTCTTATCATGATATGTATTTAACCCACAATTATTCAACCATCTTTATTGATGTAACGAACCATTAGCAAACGAAAAAGAATGCTAGAAAAAATTAGGCAGGCACTTGACACAGAATGGACTTTTCTTTGCTCAAATATGGTTTGGCTGAAGATCCATCTGGGTACTGGTTAGTGCAAAAGGAGAAGGAGTATGTCTTAGGAGGGAAGAACATGATAGAATTCTATTGTTACCAGCTCTTTCCAAATGCACAAGTGAGTAATCTTTATCAGAAGGAGGTGCTCATCACCCTTTTAGATGTGAAACCCCAGAAGTGCTTGTTTTTGAATAGCTGTATTTTTAAATCTGGGCATGAGCTATGAAGGAGATCATTGCATATATATTTGAGCAAAACAAATAAGTGACAATATATTATGAAGTAGATGATCACCAAATAGGAAAATGGACTGATTTGATGTGGCCAGCAAATTGGTAGTTAAATGATAAATAGAAAGGGATCAAGAGAATAAGTAAATTCATAGTAGTCAGTTAATAAATTATAGTCCTAGAATAAACAATCTGACTAGATTAGAAAAACACGGATGCAAATGCATTAATAGCAGGTAACATATACATAGGAAATTCATGAAAATCTTAATTAAAAGGATTTTAGAAAAGAAAAATGAAAATTATAGTGAAACTCTTCATCTAAAACATGGTAGTAGAATTTCTGTCATCATGATATCCTACTATCACTGAATACTTCTTCTTTCTTTTAGTTTTAATTAACTTTTCTCTGGGTATTCTTTTGATGAAAGCTACAAAAGGAAAAGAAACAAATTTATGCATGATAAAGTGATTTATTGTGTTACTTTATCTAAAATTTCCTCAAATTATCTTTCAATGTTTAAACAAAAAAATGTGATTAGTTTGAAAGTCTTTAATTTGTTCATATCTTTGTATAGGACAACCTATTTCTAAGGATGTCACTTTGTATATATAAGGGTTAGCTAAAATAGATAAACATGTTATTAATTTTTATTATTTATTTTTAGTTAGAAATTCATGAAAATTTTATTAAAAATGTGAACATATGGCTGTGTATGATTAGTGGAATGTAGATGATTTTGTTTACATATTGATATTATTCTATCAACCTGCATAATTTTTATATTTAGAAAAGTAATATTTAATTTTGTGCATTATAAGAAAGCTTAAATATATTTTGTATAATTCTTTAAAATGAAAGTTTAGTATGCAAATATTAAAAGAATAAAATGATATTTTATAATTAATTCTCTTTCTATGTAGATACATTAAGAGGAATTGAAGCTAATAGATCCAGCAATATTATCTTAATGTAGTTGAAAAGGGAACATCTATTAGCTAAATCACAACACTTTGTTTCTTATAATAAATAGAATTACTTTCATTAAATTTTTCATAGATTAAAATTCATTCATAATTTCAATAAAATTGTTTTTTGAACACTACTGAATTAATGGGAAGAATGTCTTCTCTACCTTTTTGACAAGCCCTAAGACATGCTCTTTTAGAAACAAAATTGTTTTCGTTCCCTCCACATCCACTGTAATTAAATGTGAGGCATTTCCCAACATTTGAATTGTAGTAGAATCTGCTCTCATTGGCTTTACACAATCCTCTGTCTGCTGGGGTCAGACACCAGTAGGGGCTGTGATAGCCTAAGAACATGAAAAAAACATGGTAAGTCATTATATGATAGTTAATCTGACACTTTCACATTATTGTTTATACATGAGTTTTGTGGCATTTTTATATAAAACAGCAATCTGAATGAATAGTAGTACTTAGTAAAATTAATGCATTTCAATTTCCACAAAAATGCTTAAATAGTCTCCAAGTGTCTGCTATACTGAGACCTTTCTTCATTAAATGAAAAAGCAGACACATTTGCCAAAGGAAAGTGCTATGATTACTCTTTATATATATATAAATATATAAAGTAGTACATAACAAAAGCAACTACTATTAATTTAACTTCTGAAAGTTTTAAAAATATACGTTTAAAAAAATATTAATGTTTACATATTTTATTCATAAATGACCAACTTAAAAAAAAAGTCCTAATGAGCAAAATTCTTTTTTCTTTAAATTCTTTTTTTATTTTTTCAATTAAAGTGTACATACAATATTATATTAGTTTCAGGTGTACATTCTAGTATAATTTACTAAGTGATCATCCCAATAAATCTAGTACTCATCTGACACCATACATAGTTATTAGAATATTATGGGCTATATTCCCTATACTGTAGTTTACATCCCTATGACTGTTCTGTAATAATCAATTTGTACTTCTTAATCCCTTCATCTTTTTCACCCATTCCCCCCAAACCCCCTCCCATCTGGCAACCATCAAAATATCCTCTGTATTTATGAGTCTGTTTCTGTTCTGCTTGTTTTTTATATTTATTTGTTGATAGATATGTGTTTATTCCCATTTTATTGTTCATATTTTTTATCTTTATTTTTCTTAAAGAAGATCCTTTAACATTTAATGTAATACTATTTGGTGGTGATGAACTCCTTTAGCTTTTCTTGTCTGGGAAGCTCTTTATCTGTCTTCTGCTTCTTTTTTTTTTTTTTTTTTAATATATTTTTATTGATTTTTTAGAGAGACAGGAAGGGAGAGAGAGAGATAGAAACATTGATGAGAGAGAAATATCAATTAGCTGCCTCCTGCACACCCTCTATGGTGGATCGAGCCCACAACCTGGGCATGTGTCCTGACCAGGAATTGAACTGGGACTTCTCAGTCCCTGGGATGATGCTCAACCCACTGAGCCACACTGGCTGGGCTGTCCTCTGATTTCAAATAATAGCTTTATTGGATAGAGTAATCATGGGTATAGGTCCTTGCTGTTCATCACTTTGAATTTTTCTTGCCAAGCCCTTCTGTCCTGAAAGTTTCTATTGAGAAATCAGCTGACAGTTTTATGGGAGCTCCCTTGTAGGTAACTAACTGTTTTTCTCTTGGTGCTTTTAAGACTCACTCTTTGTCTTTAACCGTTTTGCATTTTATTATTTTATTTATTGATTTTTAGAGAAGAATGGAGAGAGAGAGAGGGAGAATATCATCTGGTCACCTCCTGCATGCCCCACACTGGGAATTTGGCACACAACCTGGGTATGTGCCCTGACTGGGAATAGGATTGGTGACCTCCTGGTGCATGGGTCAAAGCTCAACCACTGAGCCATACCAGCCAGGCACTCTCTGTGCTTCTTGGACGTGTATGCCTATTTCCTTCACCAGGTTAGGGAAGTCTTCTGTCATTATTTTTTCAAATAAGTTTTCCATTTCTTGCTCTCTCTCTTCGTCTTCTGGCACCCCTATGATGCAAATGTTGGTTAGCTTGAAGTTCTCCCTGACATTCCTTACATTATTTTCATTTCTTTGGATTCTTTTTTCTTTTTTCTGTTCTGATTGGGTATTTTTTGCTTTCTTATATTCTAAATCACTGATTTGAGTCTTGCCTTCATCTATTCTACTTTTTTTTTTTTTTTTTTATCCTCACCCGAGGATATTTTTTCATTTTTTGTACAGATAGAGTGGGAGGGAGAGAGAGGAAGGGAGAGAGAGTGAGAAACATCGACGTGAAGGGACACATCGAGTGGCTGCCACCGCACGACCGACCAGGGCCGGGGACAAACTGCAACCGAGGTACGTGCCCTTAGCGGGAACCGAACCCGGGTCTCTCCGGACCGCAGGCCGACGCTCTAACCGCTGAGCCAAACTGGCCAGGGCATCTATTCTACTTTTGATTCCCTGTCAATTATTCTTCATTTCAGTTAGTGTATCCTTTATTTCTGATTTCCTTTTTTATGCTGTTGATGTTCTCCCTAAATTCATTAAGCATCTTTTTATCCAGTGTTTTGAACTTTGTATCTAGTAGATTGCTTGTCTCCTTATTTAGTTCTTTTTCTGTTTTTTTTTTTTTTTTCTTTCTTCCATTCTTTCATTTGAAACATGTTTCTTTGTCTCCTCATTTTGGTATCCTCCCTGTATTTGTTTCTATATATTAGGTGGAACTGCCACATCTCCCAGGCTTTGTAGAGTAGCCGAATGGAGTAGGTGCTCTGTAGGGTCTAGTGGCTCAGCATTCCTGATCACCCAAGCTGGGCACTTGTGGTGCACACCCCCATGTGGGCTGTGTATAGCCTCCACTTGTAGTTGAGTGTTATTATCATTGACATGTCAATGGGAGGGACTTAACCCCAGGTTGATCAACTGCAAGGACTGGCTGAAACCACCAACTACCGTGAAGAATAGCTTTGCAAGGTCCACCCCGCAAAGCAGGATTTACTTCAGTGAGACTCTGGTATCTGCTGAGTTAGCTCCTTGAGTGTGTCGCTTGTGGTGGTGGTTGGATAGTGGTGCTTCAACATGGTGTGAAGCTGTCCACTGGATGCACTGGCTCGGGAGCCTTCTGGGAAGTATAGGTCATGGTCAGACACTGCCTGTGTTCTGCCCAGGGCTACCTGGCATTAGCTACAAAGTGACCTGCAGATGGCTGCTACTTTTTCTGGTCTTGAGGTGCCCAGGCGAGGTCAAGCTGTGAACCAAGACCAACTGCTGCCAGTGCCGGCCTGGGGCTACTTAGCGAGAGGTATGGGGTACACTGAGGCCAGATGCTACTTGTTAGAGAGATTTTAGGAAAGTCTGAAGCATGAGCCAAGGCAGGCCATTCTTATGGACATGTCACTGGAAACAGCTTATCACAAGGTAAATAAAGTGCAAGAATGAATATAGCTCCTGGAGGACCCTCAACATATAGAATAATCTCAGCATAAAAGAATTGATTTTTTAGAGTTATAGTCTAGTAAAAAGTTAAGCTTGCCTCCTGCTAAAAACATCTCTATAGTAATCATCTTCTCACTGATTGGACTCCCTCTAAGTTTTTTGCCAATGGATAGTATGTATTATTTCCATTCCCAATTGTGTGTGTTTGTATATGTATATGTGTACGTATATATTTAAAATTGGTGTGTTGACACAAGAAAAGGTGAATTATCATATTTTATTGCTGCTAAGATGCAAATTTCTTCACATTTTAACATTACTTAATCATGATGAAGCTTACAAATGGCAGTGTGTAACAGTGTAATTGTGTGTTTTGTCTTTCTTTACTAGCAGTACATAACAAAATTGTGCATCTTAAAATCAATGGCATCTTAGATTCTACGTAAATTAGAAGTTGGAAAAGAAAAATTGCAAAGAAATATTAAAAGAAGATGCTAGCATGTTGATAGTGATTGTGTGTAATGTAAATGTGGCTGATTTTCTTCTTTTTTCTACTTTTCTGTTTTTTTTAAGTTATATGCAATTATAATGCTCATATTATATAATAAAATTATTAATAATATTAGAGATAGTATTATATAATAAAGATATTTTAGAGTCATCCTGGGGTTCCATTATAAAATGTCCTGGGATCATAAAGAAAAGGTTGGAAATTAGAATTTGTTTCTGATTAGGAATGGAGAGTAACCCCACCTGTAAATTTACTACTTACATGTAGTACATTTGAGCAGCAAGAAAGCACATGTCTTCATTCAATAACAAGGAAGAAGTAGCATTGAATGGGCAAAAACTGCCACTGCATGTGGAGGAAGAGAGGCAGACGGTGGGAAAATGTGCACTGAGGACCTTTTTCCCCTGTGTGTCCTGGACCATTTTGCTGAGTGTGAAATGTAGAAGGTAGGCTACCAAGGCATTTGAAACTGAAAGGTCACAGGGGAATAGACTGCAAGGAACCCTGTCTGGACAGGGAAACCACCACATATTGAAAAAGAAGAAGAAGAAAAAAAGGGTAGGTATTTATTGGGTTGGATTTCTTTGTCTAGCTCAGTGATTTTCAACTGGTGTGTGGTGGCACACTGGTGTGCAGCAAGGAATTTTAAAACATGCAATACCTGACTATTTAGTCAGAGGCACTGACCACTTTTTATTTAGATTGTCAGATAAAAAAAATGACATCATCCAACCCAACAATAGCTGATAGGTGTGAATGTCCTGTCTTGAACCATAAATATGTAGGTCATATAATAGAGTTGCATCTTATTGGTCATGTCGCATAATAAGTTTGAGCTTGATTGGTTGGTTAATTTTTGGTATCAGAAATCTTTATATACAAGTATAGGCACTTGGTTTTTAAAAATGTCACTTTGGAACAAAAAGGGTAGGTAATTACTATTTTTTTTTGTAAACCTATCAAAATTATACCTATTTTTTTTGTCAGATTGGCAAAAATACATTTTTTGGTATGCCACAGAATTTTAGTTATTAGTTTATATGTGCCATGAGATTAAAGAGGTTGAAAATTGCTTATCTAGATACTTCCTAATCAATAGTTAGAGTCCACAGTTATCTTCATCTGGGGATTTTTCTAAGTAAATCCCCAAAGAAAGCAAGCCATGGTAAAATGACAAATTATGAAACTTATGAGCATAATTAATTTTAAGATAATTATGTCTTATAATACATTAGAAAAACTTTGTCTTACTTTCAAAATTAGAAACCTGATAAGATTTTAGTAAAAGGTGAAAAATAATTTTTTTTAGTTCCTTGATAAGCTCTTAAGGAAGGATGAGATTTTAATAAGCAAAGGAGATAAAAAGAAATATGGGTGAAGGTAAGTACAAAGGTCAGAACATTACTGGT